TCCCGGGTGAAATGAAACTTTAGTACATCTTGAATTGTTTCTTTCCAGACCAGCATTAATCAAAAAAGTAACTCGTTCATGTGGGGAAAACCATGTTACGGAAATTCTGTTATGAATGAGTACATCTGTCAGGATGTATAGAAGCACACATGGAAGCAGCAGTTCCACAGCTGTGGAATTAAAAGACATTGTTTAGTCAGTAAAGCACTCTAAACACCTGCATTTTTTTGAGTGATGGACACACACAGTGCGTGAGGACTTTATTCCTACTCCCTGCTGTGGGGAGTAATTTTCAGAGTGCCCTTTCCTTCGCCCTAATGTTTTACCATATTCATCAGTCACAGAATTTCTTGTTACATTAAAATTTATCTTAATTATTGCACAGGTTAGATAATCATAGAGCACTGACAGGTACCTACCAAATACCAACGTGTCGCTGGGAAGATCTTCAATTATACATTTCTCTTCTCTTTCTCCAATGTGAAAATACAAAGCAAGTGAAAAAGAAATCCAGAAGTTCATCAATAATCCTATTAATTGGCTTTTCATGGTTTGGGGTTTTTTATATCCCTACTGTACTGCTTTTGAAGAGGAATAGTTACATAAAAATGCCTGTAGTCCTGTGGTTGTTCCTTGTTTGCTTCTTATCAGTGTATTTTTGAGAGAGCAGAAACCGTGAGAAAGGGCAGCTGGTGGTTACACATTTATAAATAACTGCAGTATGTTCTGGAGGATGAGATAACATGAAAAAGACACCTTGTAAAATCTTTTTTCTTTCCCAGCATTTAAATTAAAATTTTATTTTATACACTTATAAGAGCATGAAACTGAAAGGGCCTCTCAGGTACTTGAGATCAGTTCTTTAGATTGCCGTAAGTAACCACACTGGCTATCTCTTTCCAAAAATTGCTCCATTTTCAACTTAAATGAAGTTGTTAAGTTGTGCTTCCCATTTATTCTGGGTGATTACTCCAGAGCTTTACTCATTTTTTATTAAGAAGTCTTGTAATTTCTGTCCTAAATCACTGGACAAATGTATGCACCTGCATAAAACCACAGGGACTACATAAAAGGTCTGGAAGAAATTTAGAGAAGTCAAAAGAACTTGAACAGTAAAAGGATCTGAAACATTAATGAATGTGATACTGCAGGGAAAAAATAACAACATTAACACTTTCAGAATAAGATTTTCTTGTATAAGAGTGTCTATTTCTTAGACACAGCCTAATAAATTCTCTAGAGAAAGCTATAGAGTAACTTGAACAAAGATTGAGGTTTTATTTTTATCCTTTGTGCTAATATAGACCAATATAGACTCAAATGTTCTTAGTCATACAAAATGAGATCACTGTGTCCGAAAAGTTGGCCTCGATGTCAGAGGATATGTGGTCATTTTCCAGCGGGGAGGACCCACCTGTGATGGTGGAAATGTGGGATCATTTCTAGTAGGGAGCTCTTTTTCTGTTTCAGAAGCTCACTAGGCTCCTGTTGAAGGGTCTCAGACTGCCCAACCCTTTCACTGTCCTCAGCAGCACCTGGCATTGGCAGGACAATGGTTCAGAGATGCCCTTTAATGTGTCTTTGATGAACCTCTCTCTTGACTTCTGAGTTCTGTCATCTTGACTTCAGGGTATGGGATGCAAGCAACCTCAGCTGCACACACACAGGCCATATATGTAGGACACAGTGCCACAGGCAGGAAAACATTCCTTCATGGAATTTTAGCAACATTTATTTTGCTTGAAAAGGTGGAATTTGGATTTTATTTTATGTTTTATTTTTATATGGACCAGTCTGTTCAGAGCCCCATCCAGCCTGGCTTTGAACACTTCCAGGCATGGGGCATCCACAACTTCTCTGGGAAACTTGTTCAAGTGCCACACCATACTCACAGTAAAGAAATTTTTTCCAAATCTGTAATCTAAACCTGCTTTCTTTCTGTTTGAACCCATTCCCCTTTTTCTATCACTACATATCCTTGTAAAAGTCCCTTTCTATCTTTTTTGTAGGCTTTCTTCAGGTACTGGAAGGCTACAATTAGGTCACCCTGAAGTCTTCTCTTCTCCAGGCTGAACAATCCCAGTCCTCTCAGCCTTTCCTGGAAGAGAGGTTTCCATTGAAGACTGAGGAAAAAAGTTGTTGAGTACCTCATCCTTCTCCTCATCCATGGTAACCCTTTTTCCAGCATTGTTTATTGGGTGGACACAACTTCTTTGACCTTCCTTTTCTAGCTAACATACGTGTAGAAGCTCTTCCTGTTATTCTTTATGTCCCTTGCTGGGTTCAGTTCCAGCTTCATCTTGGCTTTCCTCATCCCATCCCTGTACAAGTGAACTTAATCTCTATACTCTTCTCAGGTTACCTGTCCTAGTTTCCACTGCCTGTTCATTTGCTTCTTTGCCTTTTGTTAGATCAGCAGGTCCCTACAAAGCCATACCCATCTCTTGCCCTCCTTACTTGATTTCCTGCTCCTGGAGATTGCTAGCTTTTGTTCTTTATGGAAGACTTCCTTAAGGATCTGCCAGCTCTGTTCTGCTCACTTGCCCATGAGGGCAGTTTCCCAGTGGATCCTATTGACTACCTCCTCAATGAGCTGGAAGTTTGATCTCCTGAAGTTCAGGGGCTGAACTTTGCTCCTTACCTGAGCCATGTCCCTCAGGCCTGCAATCTCCAATGCTGCATGATCCTTGAAACCTGGGCTGCCCCCAGTGTTGATGTCCCCAGTTAACTCACTTGCATTGGTGGCCCTCAGGTCCAGTATCACATCCCCTCTGGTAGGGCCGTCTATTCCCTGCCTCAAGAAGTTATCCTCCAATCTTTCATGTGGTCACAGTTCACCATCTTTAAATTCCTTAAGGTATTGGAAAAATTGTTCTCACTAATGAGGTACCTTATTCCGTTATAGGAACTTAATTTGGTGTTGATTGTTTTTGTAGGGCCACAGTTTAATTCTGTGATGACTTTTTGACTACTACACTTCCCTTTAACCATGTCTTCCAGTCTGCAAGAATATCTGCCAAGGCATCAAAGCTGATCCTTCCTGTAAAACATTCTTGAAAAAAAATTTTCTTTACAAACCCATTTCAAGCTTCCTCTCGAAGTGCTTTCTGAGATTAGCTTAACCCAGGAATAAATTTGCCCATTTCCTTCCCTAAATCTCATGTATTTAGGACCACAGCATCTTGGCTGCCAGCCAGCTGTAACACTAGTTGTAAAGGAAAAGAAAGGAAGAGCTTCTCTGTGTTTCTTCCTGGTTCCCAGATTTTTAAGAGAATTCCAAGACTGCAGAAAGTAAAAGCTACAAGGTCCTAGCAATATCCACACAGGGGTAACATACCTCACTAATCAGTTTAATAATGATATATTATGAGAAATATTCTCCATCATTAGAATGTGCTTCAGTCACTGTATCCATAGTCTTGCCAAGTAATGACTCCATCCCTGGGATTTGCAAAGGGAATACCTGGAATGATCTGTGACCAAACACTGTATAACCATCCTTAAAGAATGTTATATGTTCCAAGGTCTCCTGAAATCGCAGCTTACAAAAAAATCCCATATCCAGGTAACTGGATGGATGGAAAACTTCTGCTTTTGAAGGAAGCTGCAGTGAATATTCATATATTAAACACTCTAAAGTAGCAAAGCTATATATCTGGCGTTTCCTGAAGTGTGTTAGCTTGTTACATATTCACTTCCCTTTCTACTCCTTTTCTACTCCACTCCCTCTCATCCTTTCTCCTTCCTTTGGGAAACTTTTGGCTCCAGGAGTTGAGTAAACACCAGGGCTGCTCCACTCTCAGTTCTTTTCTTGTAGGACTGAAATCCCAGATTCAGGTCATATATACAATTGCAAATTGCAAATGCAGATATTCTTTAACTGAACCTGGCCCTTTATTTGCTCTGGGCATGTGAAGAAGCAAAACTCTAATGTTAAGAGAACTTGGAGGAATGTACTTCCAAGGATACCTTGTGGTTTGTGGGTTTGTTTTTCCTAAGGCATAATTTAGACTTGAATCTGATATCTACCCAAAGCCTTTACTGAGCTTAATTTGTCACTCAGCAATCAATAAATTTGAAATCAGTTCCTGTCCTCGGAGAGTATTTAAATATATAGTTCCATGTATGTGTAGGTTTTCTGAGATGATGGTAAATCTGTAAATACACAGTAGATAAGTGTAACAGAAAACATGGAATGGTTAACATTATAATAAAAAGAAGAAAGAAAAATATTGATAGGTAACTAAATACAAAATCATGTAGTAACACTATGCCCATTATAGAGTGGAAGCAGTGGAACCTGAAAAAACAAACAAACAACCAAAAAAAAAACCAGATTTGATAAAAAGAGTAAGTGAAACAATTTTGAACAACAGGCAATGGTGGGAGTCTGAAGAATAAGAAATGTAGTGATTCCTACACTGAGCTCTAAAAACTATGTTTAACAGCATTTGGAGAAGCATCTAAGTCCAGTCTGATAAAGTTTCAAATTTATTTCAGTCTTTGCAAGATCTATCTCATGGAAAGAAATACAGAGAACCTTTTGAATGTTTCAGCCCTATATACTGTATACACTATCCAGTGTACCCCTTTAAGGACATGAGAAATTATCTTGTATTTGTCATATTCCTAAAAGAACCTTCTCAAATCAACTCTCCTGTTCAATATCTGCACTGTACATTTGTAAAATTGCAGTGTGCTGCAAAAGTCTTGTGAGCTGACTGCAAACTTATTCTACTGGGTAGGTATAATTCCAAAATTCTTTTCCTGGTTGGTAGCCACAACTCTTCATAAGGCATGTGTTACATTCATTTTATAACAGTTATTTGAACATTAAAACTTGCAGTCAGGAACACTTTCTGGCATATTGCATTTTGTTATCATTGTGTATACCTGAATTTTAGATACTGTTAAAAAATTGCTGAGTTTTCTCTGTAAAAAGTGTTAAAAGAGCAAATAACAAATTTAAAGGAAACAACATTTAAAGGAACACAAACACATTTAAAGGAACATGGACAATATTTACTGCATATATAAACGTAAGGATATAATTTATGCAATGGTTGACAGCATTAACTTTGAGATAGTTGTCTCATGAGTGACACACACCAACAATCAGTTTTTGAATCTCAACTAACACATTTAATTCAGTTCAGAAGTTTTCTAGTAGTATCCACCCTTCTTTATTTTTCTAGTAATTTTGTTGGCTGAGTGTACACATGGCAGTGATTTTTCTCACTTTTGAGAAAAAAAAATAAAAAGACATTTTCATATGTTCCTAAGTCTCAAGACAAGTTTACTCACTTCGACTATTGTCTTAACCAAGCTGCAAACATCTGGTCACTCTGACTTATGTAAGTAGTTTCTGAAGAAACGCATGTTAAGCATGTTTAGAAAGACAACAAAAAATGCCAATAAATTATAAAAACATAATTTAGGTGAAAAAATTAATTTCTAGGTATAAATATCTGTAGGTAATCAAATTGCAGTATTTAAGAAGGCTATTAGTTTAGATTTTGTGATTGATTTTTATGCATGTGAAGTACAGTGTTTCCAAATGTCTTCTTTTCTGCCACTAGAGGGTACTCCAAGAACTTACAGTGTATTTGTAGGAAGGATTTATTCGGGGGTTTTTGGTCTGTCTGTAAGTGATCGAATACTGTTGTCATTCTAAACCTCAGAAATTTAACCCCCTAAAATCTTGAAGTTAAATAGCAACTTTCAAAACCACTCTTATACACCTTTTCATCAAAATAGCACAGCATATCCACATTATAAAGAACGCTGATTGACATGTAGTTTAGATTTAAACTCATCCTACTTTTAAATTATCTAAATTATTATCTTTTCTTTATTTCAGATGCAGTTCTCCGGTTCACATGGTGTTTCTTCATCCAGAGTTGGACAAGGCATTCCATTATTGGCAGGCTGAAGAAGTACGAAGCGAGTTCTGATCTTGGTCCCCGTTTCTCTGCAAACGCCTCTGCAGAGACCCCAGGAAGACCACTGAGAAACCTCACAGTCCAGGGGTGTTTCTGCAATACACACAACAAAAAGGTAACTTTACATGAAGTTGTACTTGAATCAAATGCACAGTTGGAAAAGCATTAAGGAGTTATAATCGAATAGCATCCTCTCTTATACAAAAAATACTTGTGATGATAATAAAAAAATCCGTATGTTGTCTCATAAATTTTTTAAAAAGTCTATTTTCATCTCCTAAGCTCATGGACAAAATAATTGTTATTGCAGCCTAGAGCATGTCTGAGGTATTATATCAGTAGTGTAGCATATTATCTATTGAATTGAAAATACATAATTCCTTTAAAAGAAAACTATACTTAAAATAATTGCACTCAAAAGAATGAATTAAAAAACATTTACTGTCAATTTTATAATGCATTTACCTTTTCATGGCTTACTAAAAACGCTGGGATTAAAGCTTTTCTCTGCTTTATTTGGGTATATTTATATTTCTTAGTAGGTAGCTATTGTTCCTATAGTTGGTCATATCAAATTCCATTTTAATTTTGTTGCAATTTGCTTCAGAAATACAGAAAAGTCCCATTTCTTACATTAAATCATCTTACTATTGTTTGGTGTGTACACTACTCTCCCACTTGGCAATAAAGATATTCTGTCACTGTAGACTTTCTAATACTAAAGGGGTTTCAGTATAATTTGCTGCAAGAAAAGAAGTTATAAACTCTCAAGTACTTTGCATAATGTATGCTTCTATTCAAAATATGTCTCATAAAAATATGGGTGAGTACTCCTTAGCAGGTTACATTAAAATATTGATTTGTCACAGGAAGTTGCATCAACACTTCCTGCTACAGCATTTGTGGGTAAAATAGGTGTGCACAAAACCATCTTTAAATGGCATACTAAGTGTGTGACACCTGGTATAAATTCCTGGCATTACGGTGAACTCACCACTTCTGCTGTCATCACTCATTCCTGTTTCTAGAAGGAATGAGGGACACAGCTTGACCTCTGGTAATTAAATCTGTCCTTTTGATTGTGGAATATGTTTTTAGGCAGACTGATTTACTGGTTGATATACAATAAAGTGGGGATTTGTGATTAAAAATGAATTTTGAAATGCCATACTTTAAATGCATCGTTTTAAATTTATACCCTGAAGAGGGCCAAATGTTCCTTTTGAATGCTGTGGGAGAGACATAACAGCAGATGACATATGTAACACTCATTTTGAATGTGTCTTCTTTACTAACAAAAGTACATTAAACCACTATAAATTGATAAATGCATTTATTAAAGTAAAATTCACCCATTAGTTGTATAGAGAACGAGCTTTATTTTAGTAGCTGTGAGGTGTCCAGCACAGAAATAGACCCATGCAATACTCAGACATTCTGGAGAAGGTCTTGGAACATGGCAACTCTTCTGGGAGTACATTGCTCCCTTGGAGCAAATATTGTGTTAACCATACCTTTGTTAATTCAGGGATTTGAAAATCACCCTTAAGACTGCCTTGAGTCAGTAGTTTGCATATCTCCCTACCTGTTCAAGGTTATTAGCTAATATTTTTATGAAAACAAAAATGAGAGAGAACCTCTCTCATTTGTGTCAGGATCATCTCGTTGTCAGGATTTATGTTTCTATTGCAAATAAGTCCAAACCAGTTGAATCATATCAATTTTTATTGCACATAGCTGTCAAGCCTTGTGACCCAGAAAGAGACAACAATAATAGTTTCTGGCTTCATCATCGTGTAAAAACTTTAGGGTGAATATTTACTTCAAAGTTGCAAAGGGTTTGTGAACTCTGATTCTGATCAAGTGTCATTTGTTTCTTATAAAATTCAGTGATCTTCACTGATACAAAGGCTTGAGTAGCTCTTACTGTGGATGCAACCCAATCCTTTGAACCATAGCTCAAATATGCAATCCCTCCCTTATTCTTTCAGGAATTCTCTTTTATGTCAACTGGCTTGTTTTATTTCCCATGTGTGAGTCTGGAAACTATTCCTATGCAGATAGGAGAATATTCTGCCTGATCACCTGTTGCATCCACAGCACCTGCCAGATTTCCACATATTTCTGAGTGAATGGAAATAACAGAATTGAGAACATCAACGTACTAATCACTTACCTGAGACAGAGTCTATTATTTCATTGCTTTTGGCTGGAAGATTAATAAAAGGTGCAGAAAGACCCAGCTGGCTTTTCTTTAATTTCACTATTGTTACTTGAGCAATAGGTGGCAGAATTTTGAGTTTTGGATAATAAAATGAGTTTGCTGGGTGACTTGGAGAGGAGCAAGTGATCTGCAAAATTAAAAGGGAAATATTAGCAAAATGACATCATATTAGTAAGAAGATAACTGTAAAATCATCTTTATACATCATGCTAATTCTTTCTGGCAAATAAATTGAGTACTCCCAGTTTCTGTGAACCTCATTTCTCATAAATATTCTGGTAGTCCCAGAATTTTGATGCAGAATGCTTTGAGACAGGGAAAAATGAATGGTATCCACTTTGGATAGTGAACTGTGCTGGGAGGTACTGAAAAGACAGTAATGTGAGGAAGGTTTGATGGAAAGAACTGGGTGAGTATTAAATAATAATATTAGGTATGCTGTCATATGGAAATAGGAAGCCAAATGCATTGTTTTCCAGATTCTCTGTACCTTTTCTCATTACTCATTAACACAGTATTTGTCTCCAGGAAAACTGACCTTTAAGAAGGGATTAACTGAATACTTGTAGCATTCAAAACACTTGAATTAAAATCCTCCGTTCCCTACATTTTTAAATGGCAAAAGCAAAGTATGAGGCATATAGAGGATCAAATGAGCAAAAGAGTGGGGTCATTGCAATAGCAGTATAATGTTCTTTGCAAAGTTCTTTGCTTTCCTTTAGGTCCTTTCCCTCAAATGCAAGTTTCAGGTTTCAGCAGCGCTTTCAACTGAACTCCTCCTCACATCAGTATTCACTACTAAGAATTTCCCTGTTTAGATAAATATTTAGCAATGTCAGGACTCTTGCCAGTATTTTTAGTTTCCTGGTGCTTTAAGGATAGCTAAATGTCATCTAAAAACTGCCAGCTTTTCCAGAAAATAATTAAAATGTAGAGAGAAGTTTTCATGAACAATCTGCATCTACCTAATAAATTTCAGAGACACAGAAAATAGAAAAAAACTGTAAGTTTATCAGCTGTGTTATAAATCCATCTGTAGAGAGCATCAGCACCTCCAAATACTAAAATCAGTTTCACAATTGTTATTTTTTAAAGGGAAGACTCAAAACATATCAGTATGAAGTGCTAATCTGTGTACATATACCTACCTCTTGAACTGTCTCCTGTGGAATAGTGGCAAAGTTTGGGGAGGAAAATGTGAAACCACTATCAGTTCCAGCATCATATGGATATAGATCGACTGATACTTCATCCATCCAGCGGTCTCCTTCACAGAGATTTAGGCTGTCAATGCCCACAAACCAGTCAGGGCTTGGAACTATTCGTACAACAAATGAAACCTAATGAAACAAAATTATCCATTAGGATTGTGTCACTCATTTTGGAATGCTTCAGTCCTGCTTACAGTAATTTTAACTCAAAAATTTTGAAATAATGTCATTATGCTCTTCTACTTTATAGAAACTGTGCAGTGCTCCCGGCAATGTGACGTGCTTTTTTGTAACTCTTTGCATTATATTGTTCCTACAAGTGAGAAGTCAAATATTTAATTTTGGGTGCTGGTGACATAAACTTTTGAAATTAATATGTATGTTTACTTACTAAGGGATGTCTTGGATGCACTTCTAATTCAGTAGAGGTTTGTCCTGTACCACTGGTAATTGCAGGAGCAGAGAAGATTCCATGTACACTCTGAATTTTCTCTCCAGCTTCTTCTATTTCTTTCATTAATACCCATGCTTCACCCTTTTCAGCAAAATCACGTACACCATTGCTGGCATATTCATTTTTTTTCCACATGCTGTAGTCAGAACTATGAGTAACACCTATTTGAGTGAATACATGGCATGACATAAAAGTCTGATTTACAATGTCCCTATTTCTTCATTTTCTCTGTTTTATTTCTGAGGTTAAAAAAAAGTGTCTATAAAATTGAGTGAACGCTAAAACATTTGGCTTATCGCTCTTTGTTTCAGCTGCAGCCAATTGAAAACAGAAGTCAATTGAAAACAGTTGCAGATTGCGGAAAATATTGTGGATACTTCATTTTATGAATTTCATTCTTAATAACTTTAAAAAATTTTTCCTTTTCCATCAGTTATCTTAAATTTGACTATTAAGAAGAAAAAAAAAAAAAAGATCACAGAGGTCAAGAGATTTATCTGCTGTTAAAACTGTGCAGACTTTACTTACCTAGCAGGGATGACCACTGTGCTGGGGGCCTGTAGAGTGGATACTGCTTAGGGAAAGCAGTCTGACTCCATTTCCCTATGAAGATTATCCTGTACTTAGCAAGTTCCTCTGCTGTGCAAATAGAATCATCCCCCACAGGCAAGCTGCTGGCATAACCTAGTATAGTTACAAGTACTGTCCAGATAACTTTACAGGAGCAGTAGACAAACATCAGGTTTTCCATTCCCTTCCACACAAAAAGAAAAAAAAAATCTGTTAGCCATATTAGTCACTCTAAACTCAAAATTAATAACAGTTACCTAATAAAATCTAACCTAGCATCAGTTATAAACAAAAAGAAAGCAGATATCCGAAACAATAAAAATTTTTATGCTTCTAAAAGCGTTACTATAATGCTTTCAGATTTGTTATTTCCATGCTATACAGAACAAATCTGTAACTTTATGTGGGACAAGTGTTTCTAATGAAAATAGAAATATCTTATCCTTGTCCATAGTACTACCTCTGAGAAAAATCTGTTTCTGATTTTCTTTTGAAATCTGATTAGAGTCACATCTTGATTTAATTAGAGTAGCAACTGTTTCTGTGGAAAACATTAGTGGTGTATTTATTCTTCTAAAGATTAAATTGCAGGTTACTTTGCCAAAAGAAATGATTTATTTTAAATTTGTGTTCTACAAAGGCTGTTTTACAGCATAACATTTAAAGTCAAATACATTTCATATTTGTATAAATTACTTTGCTGCCATAATGTGGAATAAAAATACATTGTAATTCCTTTATATTGTCTAAACTACACAGTTCTAAAAACCAACATTTTTTAAAAGTTACTGTCATAGCTTGTGCAAATTTTGTTTTTAAATTAACATGGTAATTGCATCAGACTGTTCAACTGCAGCAATTGTTTAAAATAACAGCCTTAAAAATTATTTTAAAATTATTTTGTCCTTTGAGAAAACTATACAAACATAACTAAATCTCTAATAATATATTAATTTGTAAAAATAGCTGTGAATACTCACTAAATATTCCTCTGGAGCACTGGTAGTGGGAGAGCACCTGCTTTTGCTGGCAGCTGAGTTGGTCTGCAAGAGAAGACAGTAGGAGTCTTGCTATTTATGCCTGAAGAGGGTCCCTTTGGTCCAACAGTTATTGCAATCTTTAGACTTTCCAGGTTTGCAAAAACCATGCCATCTTCTTGTTTGCAATCTCTTTGGAAGGACTGGCAGAGGTTTCCTGTCAGTCAACTGGTTCAGGTTCCTTATCAGAAGGCTGGGGTGCCGAAAAGACAAAATGCTGTTAAAAATACCTTGGATTCTTAGTAACAGTTCGAGTTTTCTGGTGCCTTTACAGTTCTCTGCTCTTATTAATGCCTCCAAGCTATACAAATGAACTGTTTCCAACACTGAAATAGTTCTGGTAAATACACTTTAAATGAGAAACATGTTTTCCTGTAAGTTTTATTGTCTGACAGATGCTCCTTCCAAACATTTACAGAGAGCTTGCTCACTCTCACACACCATATGTATGTGTTCAAATAAAAGGGGTGAGGCAGCTAAAAATGTCAAGAGGGGAAAAAAAAAGTTACATTTCATAATTGCACATACTGACACAGACTGTGTCTCCTGCAAATATGAATTAATTTAAAGTAGTACAGTGTACATTTTTGTGTTGTACAGGACCGTATGCTGGATGATGAAAGGGCTCTGTAACGTTGTGGTTTTTTTTGGAAAGAGTGGTTTTGGGAAGCTCAGAGATTTTTTCTTAGCTGTCTTCAGAGTGAAAACTCCAACTAAAAGTCTTATTATTACAGTTAAATTATACATCCTCTGTAGCACAGTATATATACTTACATCACTAAAACTATTTAAATTGTCTGTGAAATAATATGCGTTATATAGTGACCCAATTAAAAATAATGTTTAATCTTTATTTTAAGTTGTTTTCCCCATCACCTTTAAAGTAAGGGAAAACAAGGGCTTTGTGCCACCCCTATAAGGTCCTTGGCTGATCAGCAAAGGAAGTTAAATTCAGAATTTTACAGTGAACCATGAAGATAATATTTCATAGAGTTTACTTCTGAAATTGTGAGGAATGTCATTTAAGTATTTCCACAGATCTCTGACATGATGGTACAGCATATGGGGAAAAAAGCAAATAAACCCAGTTATTTTTCAGATGAAACCCCCAGGCCATCACAGGTTAGACACACAGAATATAGATCAAGTGACGCACATTTGGCCACCAGGAGGGAGTTACCAAACATGTTAGAGCTTTGTGGCACTTTAACTGGAAACTTCCCTTCTGCCCCTCACCCCTGGTAAATCCAAGCCAGGAGGTGAATAAAGTGGGATGCCTGAATGGAATTTCCATTGATTATTCTGCTGACAGAATGGAACCTCTTGCAAGTTTCAACATAGATGGAGACAGCACCTATAGCCACAATCCCTCTGTATCTGGATAGCTTCACCTGTAGGAGGTTAAGCCATCTAGGAAGGGACATGCCCTTATTTCCAAGGTCTCTTCCTCCATCCTATGTTAATGCTATGTTTTCCATAACTGATTTCTGTTCCAGGAGCCATACTCCACTAAGAAAAAAGAGCAAAGAGCCTTCATGCATACTTTTATACAAGTTATTTTAGTGTTTGTTGAAGGATGATATTTGAATCACATCCATCTCACTCCCTCCTATGCACAGAATTCCAGATCCACAGGTTTCTTACAGATTTTAATTTAATAACATCAGAAGGGGATGATCTCTCCAGCCCATGCAGCCTCCAGGAGAATTACATGAATGTCCCACAAGTTTAAAAGTGCATTGCTCAGAGCACTGTTAGAACTACTTAAAGCTTACATATTTATTGCTGAGCAGCTGTAAACTTCAGTAGGCTTTGTTGTTTATCATCACAATTACTGAGCCAGTGAAGTTCTCATGCTGAAACATACTGTGGCACTGCCAGGACGGCACTTAAAGTGGGAACAAAGCAACTGGCTCTGGCTCTGGCACAGAATGGTGTAATGTATCAGGCTGGCCCTTTCCTTTCGAAGATAAATCACTGGCAAAAGGCACATCACCAGACTAGATTATTCTGGTTCCATGGCTACGTGTTATGAATGTACCCAGGAACAGGACAATACATGCAGGCTGCATAATTTGGCACTGGACTTTTCCCTGTTTACAGTGAGGGCTTTACTATGACAGATTTCTCAGGATTAAATTCTTCAAGACCTAGAGCCTCACTCTTATCTTTGTGGGATTTCTAATGAAATTGTTGGACAAAATACTGTAAATTTATTTAATTATCATCTCTTCCCACCTCGCATGGATGAGGGAGAGAGCTAAAAAGAGAAAAAAAAAGAAAACATGCAGAATAATGTTGTCAGAAAATACTCATTTGAGGACTCACAGTCTTATTTCTTTAAATAGAAACTGTGCTAAGTGTAATCAGTCTCTGACATTGTGAAGGACACCAAAACACCAAATGTATCTCATAGATGGGAGGTAAAAAAAAAAAAAAAAAAAAAAAAAACAAGAAAAAAATTTCCACTCAATGGATTATTTTCTTGACTGAGAACCACAGAAGCCAAATTTCTGTGGACCAGCAGTTAGAGAAAAAAAATTGCTGTGGGATCAGAACCTATGCCTGCATTCCTTCTTCAGTTTGTATGTCCCATTAGGAAGCTGCTGAAAACTCATGGAAAGCTGGAAAAAAAACCCTTCCATTTAGAACATATATTTTCTTTCTTTTTTACAGGAAAGTAGCTTTTGGTTTTCAAGTTTGTGTCTCTTCAGGTACAGGTATTTTCTACCCACATATGTGCCTCTACAGACCCCGAATGCTGGAGGGATTAGGCATACAAAGCTTGTTTTAAGTAAGAAACAGTGCCATAATATGCCTTGGGTTAATTTTGCTTGCAGAAGTGTGCAACTTCTGCTGTTTCTTCTCAATAAGACAGCAGTTTCACAGTTCCTACAGTCTTTACCAAGATTCAGAGGATGAAAGCTGGAAAGCATAAAACAAAAAAGGATGTCCAGATATTTTTGTTTTTTAAATAACAGTCATAATCTTGTCTACAATATTCTGCATTTTTCTAACAAAAAATAATTTAAAAAATGAGAAAACTAGAGAAAAAAATCTATTTAAAAATACAGCAGTATCATCAATATCATGTTGCCTCTGGAATAATTTGCACTGTAGGGAAACACTTAAATGAACCTGTTTAGGCTATCACACAGGAATATATCACATTAAAAGGTGTAAATTCCATTTTGATTAGTCAGAGAATGCTTTAGCCCTTTTTCTGGTAAGCAATCAGATTGCCATGATTAGTTATTACGTTTCTATTAAACTGTAGGATTAAGGCAAAGGAAGTTTTACCCAAGTGATTGTTCTGAAGTTAGTTTGCCCACCTTTACTCAAAACAGGAGCTCCAGAAATTTTGTATTTATATCCCTGAGGTATTACCACACATTACAGTCTTGATAAAACAATTTCCATTTTTCTGAAAAAGGAGTGTATGTGCAACTCTGATATTCACAGGCTGTTTAATATGCTTATGACTACCTAGAATCTCTTTGTCTACCGAGAAAAACATAACACTGTATTACTTAAGATGGATTATAGAGCTATATTTTCTCTCCTGTAGTTACCATGGCAATGCCAAAGGTTTACATTCAGTCAAAACCCTAAGTTGTAAAATCTCAGCACCGGAGTGGCAAACAGCAGAAAATTTTATGATGGAGAGATCGAAGTGCTGGTTTGGAAGCGTTTATAAAATAAAGCGTTTTACATAAGAGAATAAAGTATTCCTGATATTGGATTGTACAACAGCAGTGAGGGCAGCTTTAATTTTCATTAACCTTTTGGAATAAAATTTTAGTTTGCAGATTAAGGCAGCTAAAGTAAGTACAAACATGCAAAGTAGATACATAAACTGTGACTATAGATAATGGAAGTTCTGTCATTTTAGTCAATAGAATCTAGAGCACTCTTCAGCTCACCCTTTAATCCATATTTGACCAAATTAATAGTTCATGAGTAGTTCTCTGATCTCCACTAAGTGTGTTGATAAGGTCTCCATCGATCCTCGCTCTCATGGAAGCATCTATACCTCAGTACCAGATTCAGGCATCTCTATCTTTATTCAGGGCTCACTGAGAATTCAAGCCACGATAAGGAAAAGGGTCAAGGAAAAATACCAGTCTTCTTGACCACAATGACACTGATCAGCAACAAAAAGCCCTTTGGTCATCCTCTCTATTCTTCTGCCAGTTGTATTTCAGTAACTTCTAGAACTGGAAAACCTAGGCCAGCCCTAGCTAACCAAGTCAAGGTTCCCTATGACAAGGACCAGAGATTATGCTTCTCATTCAGTTCTTCCCCTACCCACAGCTGTGCAAAAATAACAAACATATCATCTTTTCTGCTTTCAAAAACATTTTTCAGGAAGATCCTGGAATATCACCCATTTCTGCATCACAGCTTGTTATTTTCTCCTCCTTTACACCAGTAGAAGTTGTCCACACAGTGAGACAAACTGTAGAACAGACCCAGTTTATTGCAAATCTTCCTAACTTAGCTTTCAGCCAAATTAGTTCCTTCACTTGACTCACTGTTAGACACAAGAAAGAAGGTGGGAGTACCCATGATACAGGTTTCAGTTGACATGAAAGTGTTTCACATATGAAAATGTGGTTTATACACTGGTTGGTGAGACTAAGGATTGTGTCTGTCAGTGAGGTGAGAATAGGGATCTGTCAGTGCATCCATAACCTGAGGGTTCTTTGGCTACTGCAGGATACTGAGCTCTCTAGTACCCACTGTGTTTGACTTTTCTGGATAGTCACCTTCACCAGCACTTCTGGTTTCCTAATCTATCATTTATCATATGAACATAGAAGTTGTTTTCCACTGTATCAGTATCCTTCAGATGTCAACTACAGAGCCATTTTCTCCTGTTCCAAAAAACTGTCCTTCAGGCATAATATGTAGACCTGGTCATTCCTGGCTCTCACAAATGCATCCTGATGCCCTAACAATCACGGTTATCTGTTCAATTCATCTGTAGCAGAAACCATGAAATCTTTTAAGCTCCTTTATGTGTAAGTAAGAGTTATCTTGGCAGCAATGAACTCATCTGGAAACAAGCAATTGACATCGTCTCTGCCAGCTCGGCAGCTAAATCACAAATTGGGAGCCTCATGCCTCTATATGGCTAATGCTTAGAATAGGTATGAAGCAAACTCACTAGAATTACACACTCGGGCAGCTCCTTTATCCTGAACTTCATCATCCTTCACTGCACACCTGCAACAGCCAACTGGTAGTGCCACTGCCTCTTCTTGTTTCCAAAGGGTTTTGCAGCAGGATATTGGAGGAGGAATTCATGCTATCTTTTAATTCA